GTACAAAGAGGCCTCAGAGACAGTCCAATACATAGTGGCAGGGTGTAAGATGCAGGCAGGAACAGCATACACTGAATGGCACAACCAAATAGCTGGGGTTGGGGACAGGAACATCTGCACAATGTATGGGCTAGACCCTCCCAAGTCCAGATGGGAGATTCCACAAAAGGTTGTGGAGAATAATAGGGCTAAGATCCTGTGGGACTTCCGGATCCAGACGGACAGGCAGATATTGGCCAATCAACCAGACATCGTGGTAGTAGACAAGGACCAGAAGACAGTGGTGGTGTTAGATGGAGTGGTGCCAAGTGACAGCAACATCAGGAAGAATAAGTATGAGAAGCTGGAGAAATACCAGGGCCTGAAGGCGGAACTAGAGAGGATATGGAAAGTAAAGGCCAAAGTGGTCCCAGTGGTGGTAGCAGAACTCGGGACTGTGAGTCCTAAGCTAGGAGAGTGGCTCCAACAGAACCCCGGAACAACATCAGGGCTCTGTGTCCAGAAGAGTGCAGTGCTAGGAACAGCTAAGATACTGTGCAGAACCCTCAACCTCCCAGGCCTCTGGTAGAGGACCTGAGATTGAGGAAGACACATACCACCCGTAGGGGTGAGAGGGGATTTTTTTTATATACACACACATACAAACAATTGGAGAAGGATCAAGAATGAGATAAGAAGAAATGAAATTGAGAATGGCAAAAACTAGACAAAAGCCTATAAAGATAGTTTTATTGTAATATAGTTAAAAAGTTTAGCTCTAGTTCCTTGAGTAGACAAAGGCTTTTCATCATCCCATCTTTGCTGATCTCATCATCCCATCCTTGTTAATCACCAATGCAAGGATCTCTGCAATAAGTGCTTTGTGAATTATCCCTGTTAATGAAATAATTATCGCTGTCCGCATCTTCTGCATTTCATTTCACTTCATCCTTTAAAATTTAATAGTTTATTTTATGCATCTGATGGATTGTAATCCACAAAAGTATATGTCATAAAAATGTTTGTTTTTAAAATCTGCAAGACTGTTAAGATTGATAGTGTCATCACTATAATTGAATTCTGTATTTTAAAATCATAATGCACAAGATAACAATTTAAGCCTTGTGATGTGTGCATTATTTCTCCCACAGAAACAAACGGAGTTTCTCACATATGCACTAGACCTCTATATGCACAGAGGAGATGCTGGGCTTGAGCATGCAACTTTTTGCCTGAGGAAATCCAGTTAAACTGGATTGTCTGAAAACTCCAGCATGGTGAAGTCTCTGACTTCGTTTGGACATTACAGTAAGCCATCGTTTTTCAAAATGTCTGAGATTGAACAAACGCACCAATGCATACTGGCTGAGTGGTCCTGATTAATCATAAACTAAACAGAGAACAATGTTTCATCATTCATCAAAACAGAGCTAAAAACCAGGAAATAATGTGTGTCCTCAGTTTGTTTCAAACTGGCATAACTGGCTTTTCCAACCCCTAACAAATGAAAAACTGAATCCAAGAATAAAAACTAGCTTCAGATTCTGGCTAGTTAGGGGAGCAACAGAGATTGAGTTCAAATATTACATTATATAAACCACTAATAGGGCATCATTATTTGTTTGTCAAATGTCTAGGCTGCCTGACTCCAGGACAACCCTGGGTGGCTTCATAATTAAAGACTAATGAAGAACAATATCATATAAAGAAAGAACAGCAGTCACCCTGAAGAAGCAAATAAAAAAGACTACTGACCCCATTCCCTGACTTAAAAAGGCTTGATCATACAGTAACTCAAAGCCTGTGGGAAGAGCCAGATTTTTAAAGCTTGTTTAAAGAGGTAGGGTGAGGGTTGTACGAATCTCTGGAGCAATGCTACAGGTAGTCCTCATTTAGTGACCCCAACTGGGACTGGCAACTTAGTTCTTAAGCAAAGCGGTCGCTAAGTGAAATCGTGACTGTGCTTATGATCTTATTTCAGCTTTCCTTTGCTTTACAAACCTGTGAAGTTCATAAATGTGAGGATTGGACATTTTACTGCGAATGGTCACTAAACAAGGTGGTCACTAAATGAGGACTACTTGTATATCACAGGGCTGGTGCAGCAACAACACTTTCTGGGTCCCATTAGATGAAACTGCTCAATTGATGAGACGTGAATGAGCCCATCCAAGATGACTCCACACCTGAATCAGGCAGACACTTACAGAAGATAGTCCCTCAGATAACTGGGGCCTCTGCTTGGACTGCTGCATTCTGTACCAGCTGTAGCTTCTGAGTGGTCTTCAAGGACACCCTCAATAGCCAGCCAGCAAGGTGACCAAGGCACTGGTGACTGTAAGGAAGGCCTCCTGGTCAAGGAATGGGTGCAACTGGTGCACAAGCTAAACCTTTATAAAGGCCTCCCTGGCCAAAGCTGCCACCTGTTTCTTAAGCAGGACCTGAGATTCCAGGAAGACCTCCAAGATACACACCAGTCCTGAATGAGGTGCACTGGTCCTGAATTATGGAAGATCCCAGGAACTGAGTAGTCCAAGAACCCACAGCCACTCAGTCTTGCTAGAGTTGAGCTTGAGCCTGTTCCTCCCCATCCAGACTCCCAAAGCTTCCAGGCAATGGGACAAAACTATGACTTCCTGGCCATAGACTGAGATGTACAACTGAGTGTCATCAGCATTGATAGGAGAAGCAAAGCAGGAACAATCAGCCAGTAAGCACTAAATATGCTTGCAGAAAAAATATGATGTTTTACTATACCTAAACAGGTGCTCTGTAAACATAATTATCCTGGAGAGTTAAATTCTGAATTAATTAGAATTACTGTGTGTTAGCTCACTTCTGACAATCCTGAGAATCTACTAGTTAAGAGAAAATTTAGGCATAATGGGAAATCAGTTGCTTGGACTCCTTTTACACATGTGGCAAAAGAGAATCTTTACTGGATTATGTGGTCACTATTCCACATTTGACACAGTTTGGGACTGATGGAAAAGGAAAAAATACAAAGAAATAGAAAATACCATGAAAGTAATACTACCGGTGAAGTATGCCATTGTCTGAACAAGGTGTAATTATTTTGTGGATGGGTGAGTTTAGTTTACAAGCTGAAAAAAAACAAAGAAAAGAATATAGATAATTCTGCATTTACCTGTTGACAAATAGTTAGGCTCAAGGATTGGATGCTCAGTAGGGACTGAACTCTTCAGCTTCAGCTTTCCTATGCTGGTACTTCGCATGGGGCCAATATGGACCTGTGGCAATCCAAGAAGATCTATGGTATATGGCATCCAGAGGCACATTATAAAATAACTAATGGGTTCATATGTTGAGTTTTATGAGTTATTCAGACACTGCATGGTTGATCTAGACAATTATTCCAGGTTTCATAATTTGGTTCTTTCTACTTCTTTCATTACTCACTGGCTCTGAAGTGAAAATCACAGCTTGTATTAAACGAGAGCTCTTATATTCAAATGAGGATAGTCTTGTTTAATATTGGTTAACAAACTTGAACACAAAAGATTCACAAAGCCCTTTTATTTTAAAATGTCAAGAAGTCTTTTAGAGGTATTGGATGAATTATGTTATCTGTATACTTATTGAAAGAGAATTTATGTCGCCTCTGGTTGAACCTTCTGCCTACCAATGAAGGCAAAGTGATTAGCAACTATTTCCAAAAGCACAATATGTTTCTTTAATGATATGCTACAAGAAAAGGAACAACATTCCAGGAAAACATGTAGTATTTCTGCACAGTAAACATTCTATATAATAATTGGTATCACTATTCACCTGATAAGCTTCCAGCTGTGAAGCAACACGCCCATGGTCAATCACCTGAGAAGGGAGGAAGTGGAACTGGATATCTGGGTGAGGAACGCCTGGGCGACTTCTTATAAATCCACCACTCTCTAAGTGGGCAGTGGCTCCATCTCCTGAAAGGTGGAGCACCAAACACCAGATACATAAATAATGAGAAATGGAAGATTGAGGATTTCAAAATATCATTTTCCATTCCCTACATTTTATATTACATTCTGCTATGCACACTCACCACAGACAGTAAAAGTGGTGCCTAAGTCTCACTGCATACAACTTTGTGGTTGGGGTCTAGCTCACAGGGCATAGGTACTGTTTGGATTGCATTTGTTGGGTCATGCATCATGGAAGCCATAATTGGTTGAACAAGCCATAGTGGCCTTGTTCATAAAACATAACACAAAATATGCTTTACAAAGCATGAGTCTTGGATTCACATATGCTTATTCAAAACAAACCAAATCACATTATACCTTGTGAAATAAAGAATATGTCTCATTTATCATGAAACCATTCACAGTTGAAATAGGTTTTTTTTTCACTTTAGAAATAGTTATTTTGTAGTACAAAATTTACTTTATAATATAATTGCTTTTAATATGTGATTTGACAATTTAAAAATATTTTAAAATACATAATAATGTATTCATATTAATTGATTTGTAAATTGTCATATCTGTCATAAAATTATTGCACTTGAGAATGTTAGTTATCAATATGGAATACTACTATAGTAGTAGTACTTTATTACAGTCATTGACCAGCTCAAAGAACAAAGAGAAAACGAATTGTGAGAGAGAAAATAAAAACCACAGTAAATTATAATACAGGAGTGGTCAAACTACGGCATATTTTACAAATAGTAAAACGTAACTTAGCTATGTTAAGACAAATAAAATCCTAGTAATCAGATAATAACTGTAAATAAAATGGTGACCTGGAAATCTGCTAATCTCTGGGGAGTTATTAGCTGCAGCCAGGTATCTTTACAATAAGTACAATATAACAAAATATGGCTTAATGTTTCAGGAACTCTTTTACCATAGGAGCAAAATCTTTGTTCAAATGGAATACCCTGAAATTTCCTTTCAAAAACGGTTATTGGGAGGGCATTAATTTTTGCCAGTGATAGGCCTCTTCTGAATTTAGGAACCGCTCTTTAGCTTACATATCTTGAAAAAAGGTGGAGGACACATATGTGTCCAGGAACTTGCTCTTCTTGACCTCTCAGTAGCTTTTGATACCATCAACCATGGTATCCTTTTGGGTTGGTTGCAGGAGTTGGAGTTGGTTGGCACAGTTCTATGCGGGTTCAGTTCCTTTCTCCAAGGCCAAACCCAATCGGTGTTGATAGGGAATGAGAGGTCCAACCCATGGCCCCTACTTTGTGGGGTGCCTCAGGGTTTGGTGCTCTTGCCACTCCC